ATCCCCCCCCCCCCCCGGAAAGGATTGTTCAGATTTAGGAGGGAGAGAATTATGGCTCCTTGTCGAGGAACGTAAAACGGGCGGGTGCCTGAGCACCAGGAGATACAGAGAGAAACGCACAGTAGCCCTAACGGTTGCCGGCAGCACTTTCCTCTCAAGGACTTTGCAAAATGTTTCTCTCCCCACCCCGCGCACGTTCGGCCACTAGGGGGCGCGTAATGCTGGCCTTCATTTTAAAAGATGCCGAGTGGCGACAGGAATAAATGATATAGGGTTGTTTGTTTTCCCGACGGAGTTTATTTGTCTGGGTAACGAGCAGAAATTCAACGGTATAGCTGTTTTTGAACAGTGGCTGTCATGAAGGTGTTAGATACCTTTTGCTAGAAAAAAAGGAAAGACAACATCCTTACATGGCTCTCTAGTCCCCGAGAAGGTGCACTATATCCCCGAGAAGAGAGAGAATGGTGATTGTAGGAGGTCAGTTCTTAAAGTCACACTCCTCCTCATACACCATTTTTGAAGTTACTTAAATGGATTCAGTTAACTTGAATTGTATGCTAAGTGCCAAGTGGAGTGTTCATCTAGGCCATCTATTTTAAGGTGATCACTGGCAATTATCTTAACACACAGAGAGAGAAAACAAAACCATGTAATACTTTTATTAGTATCAACCAAATTCCATTCAGCATAACATTAATATGTTGAAATTGATTTTAAAAAAACCCCAAAACACTTATCTATACAAAATAGGGAGCTGCGGTGGCTCAAGTGGTTAAGATGCTGAACTGCAGGCTGTGGAAGGTCGGTAGTTCAGCAGTTCGAGACCCGAGTTGCCGCATGACGGAGTGAGCTCCCATCTCTAGTTCCAGCTCCTGTCTACCTAGCAGTTCGAAAGCAAGAAATTGCAAGTAGATAAATAGGTACCACTTCAGTGGGAAGGTAACAGCGTTCCGTGCACCTTGGTGTTTAGTCATGCCGGCCACATGACCACGGAAATGTCTTCGGACAGCGCTGGCTCTTCGGCTTTGAAACTGAGATGAGCACTGCAACCCTAGAATCGGATTTGACTGGCTTTTGAGCAAGGGAACCTTTACCTTTAGTGTACCAGGAGAAATATCATTTTGAATGTGAGCATTCAGTTAAGAGGAAGAAAGGAGGATGAACACGGTAACTAGAGAGTGTTTTATTTAGAACTAGGAGTAAGGCCCGTTGTGGTATAATGCGTTCTAGAAGGAAGTTCCAGGTGAGTGTCCCGGCTGTAGCTGGTGGGGCAGCAGAGGGAAGGGGAAAATGGAGGCAAGCCATGTTTATTTCCTTCTGCTTAGCTATAAGGCAGGGCTGTCTCAAGTCATTTTCCTGCCCCAAGTGCATAGTATGGTAGGACAGCCTCATGGTAACAGGTATGGTTCCCTCCACCCCTGACTTATGTTGATTTGGGGTTATGCAGTGGCAGCTAAGGTAGAAAAGCACCTCCTCCTATGCCATGTCTTCTGGGTTCCAAGGGTCTGGAAAGCGGTTCGATAGCCAGTTACAGGGTTGCCAATTCTGGGTTGGGAAATACCTGTAGATTTGAGGGGTAGAGCCTGGCGAGGAAATACCTGTAGATTTGAGGGGTAGAGCCTGGGGAGGGCAGGGTTTGGGGTGCAGAGGGTCAGGAGGGTATAATGCCATAGACTCCACTGCCCAAAGCAGCCATTGTAATAGCTATCTAGTCCAGCATCCTGTTTCACACAGTGGCTAACCAGTTCTGAAGAGCCAGCAGCACAAAAGCCGTGACCTTAGATACAATTATAACAATATAAGTATAAAACATTACAAAATGCTAGTGTTAAGATAATTCATATGCAGTGGTGGGCATGAACAGCATCCAACAAACAGGCAGTCAGCTCCCATCATAGTCTGGGTTATATTGGCTGTTAATAATACTGTTGATGTTAGTATTGATGTTAATATTGGGACCAGGGCCTCAGTTGTATGGTGCCGCTCCCTAGTCGAAGGCCTGGTGGAAGAGCTCCGTCTTGCCGGCCCTGCGGAACTGTAAAAGGTTCCTCAGGGCCCTGTTCTCCGGGATCTCATTCCACAGTACAGAGCCACCACTGAGAAGGCCCTGGCCCTCGTCATAGCCAGCCTGGCTTTTCTGGGGCCCAGCAAAGCCAGACGGTTTTGGGACCCTGATAGTAGTGCTCTCTGGGGAACCTGTGGGGAAAGGCGGTCCCTTAAGTATGCAGGTCCCTGACCATATAGGGTTTTAAAGGTAAGAACCAGCACCTTGAACTGAATTCAGTATGCTATAGGCAGCCAGTGCAGTGCTTTTAGCGCAGGTTGGATATCCTCCTGTGTAGGGAGGCCCAACAAGAGCCTGGCTGCCGCATTCGGCACCAGCTGCAGATTTCTGGTTTGGGACAAGGGCAGCCCCATGTAGAGAGCATTACAGTAGTCTAACCTTGAGGAGACCATTGCGTGGATCACTGTTGCCAAGTTGTTGCATTTGAGGAAGGAAGCCAACTTGGCGTCAACATGGCAAATGGGCTTCAATGTGGCCAAGTGCAAGGTGATGCACATTGGAGCCAAAAATCCTAAATATAAATACATGTTGATGGGGTCTGAACTGGCAGAGACTGATCAAGAGAGTGATCTTGGAGTTGTAGTAGATAACTCACTGAAAATGTCGAGACAGTGTGTGACTGCAATAAAGAAGGCCAATGCTATGCTGGGGATTATTAGGAAGGGTATTGTAAACAGATCAGCCAATATCATAATGCCCCTATATAAATCAATGGTGAGACCTCATTTGGAATACTGTGTGCAATTCTGGTCACCACACCTTAAAAAGGATATTATAGCTTTGGAAAAAGTGCAGAAAAGGGCAACTCAAATGATAAAAGGGTTGGAACACTTTCCCTATGAGGAAAGGTTAAAGCACTTAGGGCTCTTTAGCTTGGAGAAAAGACGACTGAGGGGTGACATGATCGAGGTTTATAAGATTATGCATGGGAAAGAGCAGGTAGAGAAAGAGGTACTTTTCTCCCTTTCTCACAATACAAGAACTCGTGGGCACTCCATGAAACTGCAGAGCGGTCGGGTTAGAACGGATAAAAGGAAGTACTTCTTCACCCAAAGAGTGATTAACACATGGAATTCACTGCCACAGGAAGTGGTGGCGGCTACAAGCATGGACGGCTTCAAAAGGGAATTAGATAAGCATATGGAGCAGAGGTCCATCAGTGGCTATTAGCCACAAGGTATAGATAGGGACTCTGGGGCAAGTGATGCTCTGTCATCTTGGTGCTTGGGGGGGTCAACAGTGGGATGGCTTCTAATGTCCTGGCCCCACTGGTGGACCTCCTGATGGCACTGGTATTTCTGGCCACTGTGTGATACAGAGTGTTGGACTGGATGGGCCTTTGGCCTGATCCAACATTGGCGTCTCTTATGTTCTTACGTTCTTATGTTCTTAACTGCCTAATCAGCCAAAGATGATAGAAGGCTGACTTCGCAATGGCTGCTACCTGGGCCTCCATCATTAAGGAGGCATCTAGGAGTACTCCCAAGCTCCTAACCCCCGACACTGGCACCAACAGCACCCCATCGAAGGTTGGGAGTGGGATCCCTACCCTTGGGCCACTCCGGCTCAGGCGCAGAACCTCCGTCTTCGTCGGATTCAATTTCAGTCGACTCAGTCTAAGCCAACCAGCCACAGCTATCCACGCCAGGTCCAGATCTTCCGGACTAGAGTCAGACTGGCTGCCCAGCAATAGGTAGAGCTAGGTGTCGTCTGCATATTGGTGACAACCCAGCTCATGACTCCGGGCAATCTGGACAAGGGGGCGCATGTAGATGATAAATAACATTGGGGAAAGCACCGCACCTTGGGGCACTCTGCAAACTAGTGAGTGAGAGCTGCTCCCCAATGGCCATCCTTTGTCCCCGACCCTAAAGGTACGAGGAGAGCCACTGTAAGGCAGACTCCTGAATCCCAGTGTTGGCAAGGCGGTGGGTCAGTAGTTGAAGAAGAGGAGGAGGAGGAGGAGATTGGATTTATACCCCACCCTTCGCTTGGAGTCTCAGAGTGGCTTACAAACTCCTTTCCCTTCCCCTCCCATTCCCACAACAGACACCCTGTGAGGTAGGTGGGGCTGAGAGAACTCTGAGAGAAACTGCTTTTTCAAGAACAGCTCTGATAGAACTATGGCTTGCCCAAGGTCATCCAGCAGTTTTGTGATGATTGATGAGTCAAACCCAGTTCTCCCAGATTAGAGTCCACACACTTAATCACTACACCAAACTGGTGGTTGACCGTGCTGAACGCTGCCAACAGTTCTAACAATGGCAACACAGCCGAACTGCCCTGATCCAGATGCCTCTAAAGATCATCCGTGAGGGCGACCAGTGTCATCTCAGTCCATTGGCCTGGTCAGAAGCTGGACTGGATCTAATGCAGAGGTGTCATCCAAAAACCCCTGCAACTGAATCACCACTGCCCTCTCAATTAATTTGCCCAAATAGGGCAAGTTGGAAACCAGCTGGTAGTTAGCCAATTCGGCCAGATCCAAGGATGGTTTTTTCAAGAGAGGGCATACCACTGCCTCCTTGAGTGCCCCAGGGAACAGCCCCTCAGAAAGGGACTTGTTGATAATTTCCCTTAGGGTACCTCGTAGCCTGTTGCAGCCAACTTTAATTAGCCACGATGGGCACAGATCAAGGCTGCAAGTGGTCGGGCGGACAGTTGAGAGTAATTTGTCAACTTCTTCTAGGCTGAATGGACTGAAATAATCCAAAACTTGACAAGAAGACGTGCATGGAGCCTCGAGCTCCCTTAGTGTCTCAACTGTGGCGGGAAGGTTGTGGCGGAACGATAAGACTTTATCTGCAAAATAGTTTGCAAAAGCCTCACAGCCAATCTCCAATTCCTTAGCACTTGGTCTGCCCTGTGGCAGAGTAGTAATAGACAGAATCGTTCTAAATAATTGGGCTGGGCGG